TTTTGGCCACGTCCAACCAGGGAAGGGCCCTCCCCCTCCGGCACGTCCCTGCGCCCCGGCACCGCAGCGCCCGCGCTCCCGGAGCATGGTCCCCCCTGCCCCTGCCCCTCCGCCGCGGCTGCAGCTCCCAGGGCCCCCGAGCGTCTGACTCCAGACGAAGGCGGTGCAGCGCCAGGAGCCAGCGGCACCGGCTTCCCCTCGGAGCGGCCCCCGCGGAGCGGAGCGGAGCGGAGCGGAGCCGGCCGGGGCCCTTCGCCCCCGCGGGCCTGGATCGGGGCTCGGGTTAGGCACCGACTGCCGCCCAGCAGCCGTCCCCTGACGGGCTTGCTGCCTGCCGTGCTTGCTCGGATGAGTCTGCGACATGCCTAATAAGAGACGAGATGGGCCAGGGCGACGAGAGCGACCGCATTGTGATCAACGTGGGAGGGACTAGGCACCAGACTTACCGCAGCACCCTGCGCACCCTGCCCGGCACTCGGCTGGCCTGGATCGCCGAGCCCGATGCCCACAGCCACTTCGACTATGACCCCCGCACGGATGAGTTTTTCTTCGACCGGCACCCGGGCGTCTTCGCCCACATCCTGAATTACTACCGCACTGGCAAGCTGCACTGCCCCGCGGACGTGTGCGGGCCCCTGTATGAGGAGGAGCTGGCCTTCTGGGGCATCGATGAGACCGATGTGGAGCCCTGCTGTTGGATGACCTACCGGCAGCACCGCGACGCCGAAGAGGCTCTGGACAGCTTTGGTGGGGCACCCCTGGATAGCAGTGCCGAGGACGGAGACATAGATGGCACCGGAGACTCTGGTGATGGCGAAGAGGAGCTGGAGATGACAAAACGCCTAGCACTTAGTGACTCCCCAGATGGCAGGTCCGGGGGCTTCTGGAGACGGTGGCAGCCCCGCATCTGGGCACTCTTTGAGGATCCCTACTCCTCCAGATATGCAAGGGTAAGCTATGCAATCAGCACCCTCATCAAAACACTCCAACCTCCCTTCAGCCCCACTTCCTCCCAGCATCATCAGGGTTAGTTCCACCGTCAGCACAGAGCAGCCATCCATGTGTGTAGCCATACAAAAACCATGCACGGGCTATGGGGACATAACTCACGCTCTCAAGCAGGCCTCACGCGTGGGGCACGAGTGGACACCAAGGCATGAGCTCATGTACCCGTATGTGGGCTTCCAGAGACCCTTATTTTCTAACAGCCTCCTAAAAACCCACACAGCCTGGGGCAGGGTCCCCTTCACGGGCCAGGGAGATCTCCATTATACCAGGTAATTTCCCTCCATGCACAGATTTTTACAGTCAGTCATCCCCCAGTAAAGAGAGAAGCCTTGTCCAGCCGTCTTACGAGCTAACGGCTCTCTCCCCTTTATGAGATGGAGAAACGGTCACAGGAGCAGGCAGTCCCTGGGAGACGAGGGCATTTGGAGAGTTTCTCAGCTTGGACTGGGAAGGGAGTCTGTTCCTTTCTCTTTTCTCATACATACCATGTTCAAATATTTATGATCGTGCTTCTCTGAGAATGGGTAATTCAGTTCCTCACTTACCTCCTCACTCTGTCTTTTCACTTGTGGGAAATGCAAAGTATTAATCAGAGGAGAGGGTTCATTCATGTAGAAGGGACACTGTGTTTGACAGGTTTCTTCCCTGGCTACTGAAGGACAACTCCTCCCCTCCTGGTGCCTGCGGTTGTTTTGGAAAGGGAATGCACACTGGTGCAGTTCACAGCATAGCTGTGGATAAAGATGATCTTAAACAGTCACCCAACACCCAACTCCTCTAAGTAGGTACCTTTCATGCTATTACAGAGGAGGATAATTACATTAATTAGGGCCTGATTCTTCTCCTGAAGTCAAAAGTAAAGAAAACATTTACTTCAGGAGCAGCAGCAGGATTAACCCCCAAGACACCCATACTGATAAGCAGGGAAATAGATGAAGGGTAACGCCTTCACAAAGAAATTGGTTTGGATAGGTTTTACTCCTCTCTTAAACGTACCTTTGTTACAGCATAATTGCTGCCAGCCCTCGGTAGGGATGAGTGGTGCTTTGGTGTGGCAGGATGATCAGTGTTCCTGAGGTGGATTGAAGAAGTGAGATCAGATTAGGGAGCAAATTGGACAGATGGAGGAAAGAGAAGTGGAAATGCAGGGACAGGGGAGCTGGTCCTGTATGAATGGGTGGTGGAACAGCAGCTGCTGGGGACTCAGTCTGAGTAGAGATCTCCAGCAGTGGGCCACCAGGTCTGCAGACTGAATGAATGGGGAAAGCTGGAGCACAGCCTGGAGTTATATCTTGGTGCATTTCTAAAGATTCTTGTTTGCACACCCTTTGGAGATTTCCTCCCTGAACAAAGAAGTTAATATTTTAAATGAATTCCTTTAAACAGCATGGAGGATAAAGGAATAATAAAATATTTACCACGAGATGAAAGGATAATGCTGTTGAATTGCAGCTTTCAAATCCCTGATTTCTGCCAAGGGAACATGGAAACAGAGGGGGAAGGCTGGAGGGTATCCCTCAAAAGGCTTAGTTAGCTTCCTTTAATCAAGCCCAATGTTAGCAGGCATTGATTTGAATGGCAGATCTCTGGTGCCCAGGAATCTGTTGGTAAAACACATTTCAAGTCAAAGCAGTGTGCTTGTCCAAGATTTTGTGGAATGGTCCAAAAGCCAAATGGATAATGCTGTCCCAATGAAAAGGATACAAACAGAGGCTAAAGCACCTTTTTGCTTGGAAGCATTATGATATTTTAGGTCAGAGGACAAAATCTATAACCAATATTAAGAGTCTTTGTGATGTGCTAGCTGGACTTCTAGGAGGATATAAATTCCATTTTCTAATTCGCTGTGGGTATTTTCATTTAGGAAAAGGCATTTTGTAAAGTAATTTGGGTTTGTTGTTGGGTTTTGCAGTAGATGTTATGCTGTTGTTCACAATTACATGTGCATACCTGGTAGAATTCAACCCCTGATTTAACTCTAAGTTGTTCTTTCCTTAAAGGATTCTTAAACTAGAGAAATATGAATTCTGGGCAAAGTTGGAGTGTATACTGAATATTTCATGGGTTAAATATGATTCTTTAACTTGTATCTATGGAGATGTAGGCCATAAGCATTAATATTTTGCATGAAGGAAGATGGCTTTCATCATCAACACATGCACACACTGTCCATTAAGAAGACATTATAAGACACTTAACATTTTCTAATAAAAGCCATATGTTATGGTTATGGATGTAAAAAGAGATGGGAGTTTGATTTATGCCCCTGTAACCTAACACAGACATTGCAAAAAGACCTTAAATTCACAATAGCTAATTTACAGTAAAATAATTGATAGCATCATTAACAAGTGAATGGTATATTAAAGCAACCATTAGTAAAGTCAGGCAACAAATCCACTGTTACTTCACTTTTAATTGTGTACGCTACTTTCAATTAGAAACTGTATTTCAGTCATGCAAAAATTTAAATTCGCATTGCCATCTTGTCAAAAAAATACATCACAAAAATGTGTCATCCTAATTGGACCTGAGACTTGTACTAATGGTGGTTATTATGCACATGTTTGGTGTTTATGTATGGCACCAAAATGTATGTCAAAATAACATCTTAATATAAGCATCAGTTTACATAACCATTATACTTTTACACTTGGGCAAGTAAAAGGAATACAGTATATGAATGTTAAGATTAAATGAAAACCTGCATATCTGAATAAAGCAAGATTTCTCTGGACTAAATCTCTGATTTACACTAAATGAATGTTGAGGAACTGTCTATGGAAAGCTCAGCATTTACTCAGATCTAGCCATTCTTGGAGCATTTTGGTAGACACTGCTTACAAATACAAGTATATTTGACTGTTTTGCTTCACCAGGACCTAACTCATACTAAATTACATGTATTGTCATTGTAGATGGCCAGGGGAGACTCAAGAGCATTTGTATATGTCAGGCAAAATCAGATAACTCTGCAAATTTTGCCTATTTCTAAACTTACTTTGATAAAGCATAAGCTCCCAGTCACCAGTCATTTGTCTTTAGGTGAAACATAGTCAACAGTTTCTTGTTAAAATAATAGTGGCTGAGTTTAAATTCTAGTTTTCTAAACACTAATTTCTTAAATAAGGTAATTCTTTCTAAAAAGATTAAATACTTTAAAAAATTGCATCATCTTCTAAAAGAAAAGGTAGCTTGTTTCAAATCACAGACTGCCTTAGACACCTACCTTAATAAGATAAATGGGTGTTGTACTTCTCCATAATTTAAAGAATCCACATTTGGATAACAGAGGCAAAGTCTGGTACCTGGAGTCTGAACAGAGTAACAAATAAGGTGATGGAAAAGACCAGACTTACAGAGATACTGTATGCATATGCAGACAGACAGGCATCCAGGTAGATTTTCAAAAGTATCTGATCAGGCAGCTAAATATCACTGCATGTCAATAGATATTGTGCACCTAAATCGGTGAGGTGTTTCTTTGAACCTTATTAGAACTGTCTTTTTTGCGTGGTCAGGCAACTTTGTAAATTTATTTTTCAAAAGTAGATGCAAGGGGGGAAATAGACTCAAAGTCACACAGAAAGCTACACAGATAAGCTAAAGCAGCATATCCGAGAGTTACATTGTAATAGAGTTCCTGCCTTCTGCACTCTTTAGACTTCACAGGCCCCTCAGTACACAAATGCATGAAAAATATTTTCTTAGCATCCTCTCTCCTTTATATTTATGTCTGGTCATGCTGTTCTTACACTAGCGAAGCTCCCACTGACTTTCTGGGGAGTTTGGCCTGCAGGTATCGAACATCTTTGCCCCCTTCCTTCTCCCCCCCCCGCCCCCAGCAGGATAAGCTTGTGTTTGTGTTAATTCACAGGCGTTAGGTTAGTCAGTGCTTGGGAACCAGGAGCTTTCAGCTGAGATTCTGCGCTAGTGCTTCCATTCAAATTGGATGGTTAAGCTTCATTAATGAACCCTCAGAGAAGCTTTTGTAGTCCTCTCAAATAAACATTTCTACTGTTTTTAAATAAAAGCTTGTTGGGGTCCTATGGAAAGTCCTCAACAGCTTGACTTGCCATCCTGGCATATGCTATACAGCTCTGATCTGGAAGAGGAAAGGCTTATGGCAAAACTCTCACCCGTTCCTCATGTTGTCCCTTCACATCCTGCAGAAGGATCTGCTTTCCTCAGTGGGTGATTTTTGAAGGACAAGTTTCTGACACTGGACACTGAGGAGACAGGAAAAAGGATAGTGGGGAAGAGATGAGGAAAAAGGTATTCCCCGGGGATTTCTTCCAGCTTTCTTTTGTACATTCCAGAGCATTTCAGCCTTGCTGTGTTCATTTAAACTGATTTTTCTCTATATAAACTACCTCCCTTAGGTACAAGAAGGCTTACGGGATCCTAGTTCCTGAATAACCATACTGTCTTGAGGCTTAGAGGCTGGGGTAATTTCTGCTCATCCTTTACCCTGGCCCAGTACAGCTAAGCTCAGGAACTGGGGAAAGTATCAGGGAGTGGGAAAAGATACTCATCACCCTTTCACAAGGGGAGCTTATTCTGCAGCCATCTGATGTGGGACACACTTTGCACAGGAGTGCTCCACAGACAGTGCTCCAGAGGCTCCCGCCGAGCACGAGCAGATAGGGAGAGAAAGGAGGAGAGCCACACCACACTCCTTCCCCCACCCACAGGCACCCCTCTCCCCGGGGAGAGCTTTCATCAAAGGGGCCCTGATGGAGCTGCTCTCCTGCCTTGGGCCTTTCTGCAAGGTCTCCCCTGCAGAGGCATATCTAATCCTGCACTGAAGCTGGCTGCAGTAATTCTCACCATATACTTTGACAATTAACGAGACAGCCTAATTTTAACTGCACGCTGCATTACAGCTCTGGAAAAATGAGAATCTTTCCCCATTAAATGAAGTTTCCCCTGCACTTGTAGT